GGCTACCAGGAGGCTGTGTTTCCAGCTCAGAACCAAAGCTTCCCACGCTGCTGTAACAAAGTCCCACATAGTCACTTCCTCAGGGACCTGGTGTGGTGGGGGCAAAGCTGTCTTGTGTCTTGGACATGGACTGCTCAGTTCTTGGCCAAGGTCACCCTACAAGGGCAGGCAGAAGCTTGAGATAATGGAGTGGAAAATTATCTGGGTCTGAGAAATTTCATGCAAATTAAAATTAATAAAACGTATCTCACTGATGAGTCTCATGACTGTGTTCCAGATCACTGCACTTTCCGGAAAACATGTTGTTTTTTTTTGCCCAAACATCCTCCTCGAATTTGACTTCCTAACATATGCTCTAGCCTTTTATTATTTCCACCTGTCACATTCTCGCTCAAAGAGTCCAGTCTTGCCACCCCTGAGAATGTTGCAATGAGTGATTCAGAAAGAGCGGGTTCCTGCAGAACGTGTGGAGCTGCTGGTGTGTGTGGTTCCCCAGGAAAGTGCTTCGAGAACAACCGCTGTTTCTTGGGTGCATGTCTCTGCGGTGTGGATCTTAGATGGTTGTGTGGCCTTACTGTCACACCCATAGCGATGCCTTTAAGGCTTATGTAACTATGTGTTTTCGTTCTTTTAATCCATCAGTGGAAAAGGGCAATGGAATGGAAGGGAACTCTGATAATGTGCTGAAAGGATTGTTGTTAAGTTGTTAACTTATTCTTTAATCATTGACTAAAATGAGCAGTAGGGTATTAAGGCAAAAAGAAGAGATGGGGAAGGGAATTCATGTTCTTTTCTTTGATTAGAAAGGAAACAAAGTATGTCCCTTTCGGCATTGATAGAAAATGCCATTTTAACCGAGTCATCCCCCCAGTTCTTGTCGCCGTCATTGGAAAAGTCTGTCTCACGTGAGTTTGTCTCTCAGCTCTCTGAGAAAATATTCCACCACTCTCCCTGTAAGAGCACCACCGATAGCACCAAAACCTTCCCAAATGAAAATAAAACTCAAGATATAAAATTGGCTTTATTGTATTTGCTGTCATTTCACAGATTAGAGTGATATATATATATATATATATATATAAAGAATTTTATATATATATATAAAGAAATATATATATATATATAAATTTATATATATATATAAAGAAAAGGTGATGGAGATACAATGAAAACAGGAAACGGTTTGACAAACAGAGGTATGAATTTGTAGATTGTAAAGTACATATTTAAAGCTGATTTGTCAGAGCATGACGGGGCTCAGTAGTGACGGGGTACACACATATCGGTTAGTCTGAGATCTCTAACATGTCCCAAATAGTAGCTCAACCTTGAGAAACATGTCAGTATTGTGTTAAAGCAAATTTAGGCTGAAGACTAGTTCAAAAATTGGAGGAAAACAAGAACACGCATCTGGTAGCATGGTTTAGTGATCAGATGGAGTGCTATATATAGCAAGGGAGTGAAGCGTGATGGAGATTTTGGTAAACGCACACTGCCAGGACTTACAAGTAGTGGGACCATTTGCTCGTAAAATCTGCACGTCACGTGGGATTTCCACCTTCATAACATTCCTGTGAATTTCATTAAGTGGTATTTTGGAGCGGGTGCTTTTGGAATGGAGATGACTGTTTACTAAAGCATTCTTTTTTGTAACTTACAATTCCATGACACCCTGCAGAAATAATTCTTCAAAAATAGATCCAAGTTGGCTGTTATCCTGATGACAGCCTTCCTCTCCTGACGGCTGTTTAATACTCTGTGTCAGCACACAAACACAGCTTCCTCTCATGATCTGGAAGATTGTTTTTGTAAAAAAGTCCCTGATACAGTCATACTTCCTGCGATGATTTGCTTTAATACAACATCCTTAATCTTAAGATTTGATTGCAGATGAAAGAATATGGTTCAATTAGAGTAAATGAAAAACAATCATTCCTTTGAACTCCCCTCCAATCACATTCTTGGAAGCTCTTTACTTTTTCAGGAATATTAAAGACATTTGCAATAATAAGAATAATAAGCTAAGAGCTCACATTTATTAGCTCAGAATTAACTTCTGATTTTTTTTTTAAGAGAATAGGTACTGTGTAATCTATTGTAGTAGCTCCACTGGAGTCTAATCTTAGGTGGCTTCTACCTTTAACTTGAATATTTTTGAGGGATGAAATTGGACATCTTATGTGGGTGGAAAAGCATGGATACTAGATAAGATTTTGTCCTTGAATAAAGATCATAGTTAAGTACTATCTCATAAGATGTGAGCTGCTAAACAAAAAAACTTGGTGATGGACTTTTAGGTTGATGCCTTCATCTTTGGTTTTGCCCATCCAGCGCTGGTTAGGAATACAAAACCACTGGCCTGATTCTCCAACAGCGGTTGGGAATCAGGGCTTCTGGGCACCATGTAGAGGAAGACTTGGAGCCGCAACCTTTCCATGAAGGACAGGCTCAAGGAGGTCGCTGCTCCAGGCTGCACAAAATGTACCAAAGCTCCCTGCATTTGGCTGAAATTTACTTGTACTAGATTTATGGCCTTTACCTCCCTTCATGACATCTTTGGCATTTATACTTGTGTCCATTGGGCCCTTCGACTTCTACAGCCAATTCTCGTGATTTTATTAGGAATTAATTATGAACTCCAATCAACAGCTCTTTCTTCATCTTTTCTTTTTACACACTAGTAACATACTAAATGAAAAATAAGAATTCCTGTCCCTAGTTTTCAGGCATCTAAATGTCCACAAATTATTAATTTGGGTTGATTATTTTTAACCCACAGGATTTATATGACTTGACAGAATGGGCAGCAAAGAAGAAGAACAATCAGCCAACCATATGTCAAGTTGCAAGGAAACAGAGTCTAACAGGAGAACTGACAGAGGATGAAGATGAAATCAAATGGGTAGAGCTTTATTTCTCCCTCCTGTTTATTTTTCATTAAGTGACTAGGGGAAGAACTTGGGGGAAAAGCTGGACTAAATCCATCAATGTTTCTTAAAGGCTAGGAAAATGGCTACTCCTGGAATCCAGAAGAAAACGTTGACACAATCTGTTGTAATGCAAGAATGAATGACCAAATTCTCCCCTGCAAAGAAATTCTTTTCCACTAACAGAAGTCTTCTTATGTGGAAGTCTAGTTGACCAACTATTAGTTTTTATTTTTTACACATTTCTCACTGCCTTCCTTACTCTGAAGATAAAGACTTTGTTTCAGATTTCTTTTAGAAAATCGAAACAACACAACAATAAAAACAAAATCTACTGACAAACACTAATGCCTCGAGAAGTTAAGTAACTCCTTTATTCTTTAAAATTCCAATTAAATTCTAATTATACTGTTTCATTGCAAATTCTCACCCTGGAGATTTGAACTCTGTTCATAAAACAGCTTACTCTGAGAGCAAATCTATTCATTACTGTTCACAGACCCAAGGACCAGTTGGTAAATCATTCTGATTAAAGATACGCTGAAATTCACAAAAGGCAAAATGTATGTACTCAATCAGTTAGAAGGGAAATGTTAAGGTTTAGACCTGCAAGGGTAAGTCTTCCCAGCGGAAAAAAACTTAAGTGCACCTTGAGCCTATGCAAAGTCAAATGCTGGAAGTGGAGTACACACTACGGAACGTGGAAATCAAGACTTGAAATGCTAATCCCTTTCATTTGGAAGAAAATCCCATCCCAGAAAACTATGATAAAATAACCTGTATTCAAAACTAGTCATTTCAAATATTTCCCTGATAAAATCTAGCAAGAAGAAAAGCCCAGACTGAGAGACTAAAAGGTTTCTTTATGCCAAATGGTTGGATGTCTGACCCTTTGACCACAGTGACCAAATATAGAACCAAGCCCAAGGATGAGGGGGATCCTTGCAAAGGAGCTACGATGCAAAGGCCTCGTGTCTTCCTAGCTTTGCTTTTCTCTTTTCTTCTTTCTCCAGACATCGTATGAGTACTGAGGATCTAAGCAAGGGAGAAAGAAACATACTGGAGCAGGTGTCGCTTTTCATATGTCTTAACATTTTTTTTTATTGAAATGTAGTTAGTTTACAATGCTGTGTTAATTTCTGGTGCACAGCATAGTGATTCAGTTGTGCATATATCCTTTTATACGTCTTAATTACATTTTGATGGGATTGAAATCAGCCAATTAAAATTGAAAACTTGATTTAAAGAAAAATCAAACAGATGTTTAAATTCATTTAAATACCTGGTCCACTAATTCATGGCATTTTTTACTTTTAACCAGTTATTTTAAATTTCTGGAGTCCCATCTCTGGGTGGTAATTTCCTGATGAATGGGAAAGAGAAGTAAAGATGGCTTGTGACCATCAACAAGTTAGTCTTTGCTATGCTGTCTGGGGCCATTGGCTGCTGGGTACCAAATAAGTACAATATATTTCATTACTGAATTAAAACACAGCTTGCAGATTATAGTGATTTGCTTGCTGCTCTTTGTGATTTCTCAAATAGAACACAACATTTTTGAATGGTCTCACTGAGAAGATCTGATGCACTGGAAATGCTACAAAATGCAAACAAAAACTTTTTTGGGGGTCAAAACACTCTGTTAGTTTGACAAATCTTAGTTGGGCGTTAAGCATGAATCTGTTTCAGTCAGAGTCATGTCCAGATATAATCAAATAATTCTGCCCCCTGAATCCTTTTGTTAGCACATTAACACAAGAGGATTTTGTACAAAGTAATAATAAGTAAGTGTGCCTGG